CTGGGTGCGGTGGCTCACGCCTGTAATCCCAGCACTTTGGGAGTCAGAGGTGGGTGGATCATGAGGTCAAGAGATTGAGACCACCCTGGCCAACATGGTGAAACCCCATCTCTACTAAAAATACAAAAATTAGCTGGGTGTGGTGGCATGTGCCTGTGGTCCCAGCTGCTAGGGAAGCTGAGGCAGAAGAATCTGTTGAACCCAGGATGCAGAGGTTGCAGTGAGCCAGGATTGCGCCACTGCGCTCTAGCCTGGCAACAGAACAAGACTCCGTCTCAAAAAAAAAATGTATTAGCTTTTTTTAAATTGTCAACATGGGTTATCTGGATAGGGAAATAATCAGATATTTCCCCTCTTCTCTGTAATAAAAAATATTCTAAAGGATATTGTATTAAACAAACAGAAAACAACATAATAACAACTGAAAAAACAATCCAGAATTCTGCTTCTGGTAATACAGCAGATAAGAGAGGCTGAATTATTGTCCTGATGAAAAACAAGTGAAAAAGTCAGTTGGAATATAAAATATATTGAGCTGGCAAAACCAAACCAAACCAAACCCAACTTAGTAGTTCCTGAAGCCAGCTTCCACCCCAGGGACACCTATGGAACCCCTGTGATCATAAATGTTTGTGCGTGGCGTGATACACAAAAGATGCGACACAAAACCTAAAGCCTAAACAATCTTGGGAGTCTAGAAGTAGACCTCAAACAAGACAGGAAGCGTTAATGAACTAGAAATAAACCTGCGGTTAGAAGAGACAAACAAGGTGACTCGCCTATCTCAACCATGGTGATGTGCAGAAGGAAAGAAAGTATTTCTCCTGAGAATCTGTAAACAGAAGTTGACCCTCATGTGGGTTTGGGACTGTCTTCGTATTACCTATACAGTCCTAAAAACCTCAAGCAGAAAATTCAATTTAAACTGGTCTTGGATTGGTAGCATCTCCAGGCAACAGGGAGAATCTAACACAAAATCACCTCTAGCAGAGAGGCTATGAAGAGTTCCTAGAAAAACAGGTTTTTCTATATAAGGTCAGTTAAAACACCCCTTACCCATCCCCCAAAGAACTAAGCATCAAGACTGAGAACTACAGAACAAGAAATGACTAAATCAGACACATAATGACATTAGATACGCAACTGTCAATCAGATAATACAAAATACTTATGTTTAATCAATTTTAGAAAATAAGGACTTGACATATAGCAAGAAAACACTATAAAAACAATAAAGGAAAATTTAGAAACCAAGAACTTCTAGAAATGAAGAATATAACAATTAAAATGAAAAACTCAAAGAATGGGTTAATCAGCAGATCAGAGATGATGAGAAAATTAGAAACTGGAAGATAGCTATAAAGAAATTGGCCAGGTGTGGTGGCTCATGCCAGCAATCCCAGCACTTTGGGAGGCAGAGGCAGGTGGATCACCTGAGGTCAGGAGGTCAAGACCAGCCTGACCAACATGTTGGAACCCCATCTCTACTAAAAATACAAAATTAACTGGGCATGATGGTGCATGCTTGTAATCCTAGTACTTGGAAGGCTGAGGCAAGAGAATTGCTTGAACCTGGGAGGTGGAGGTTGCAGGGAGCCCAGATGGCACCACTGCACTCCAGCCTGGACAACAAGAGTGTAAGTCCTTCTCAAACAAACAAAATCACTCAAAATTCAGCCTGGGGAAACAGAAAAAAACGTGAAAGGACAAATAAAAAGACATGGAGCATAGACTCAGGTGGTCTAAATACACCTAATCAAAGTTACAAAAGAAGAAAATAGGGAGAATGGGATGAAAAAGAGATAATATTCTAAAATGATAGAGAACGTTCAGATACCCATCTTACTGATTTAAGAAGCCAAAATCCTAAGCAGAATAAATAAAAAGAAACCCCTACTTACATACAGTAGATACATTTCACAAAACTAAGGACAAAGAAAATACCTTAACAGCAAACAGAGAAAAGATGGATCATCCAATAAGAAATGACACACCAACCTATAGCTACTGTTGACATCTCAATGGCCGCATCAAAGGCCAGAAAAAATACTGAGGGCAAACTGTCAACTTAGAATTCTACACTAAATGAAACTATCTTGTTAAAATGAGGTTTAAAATAATAAGCTTGAAATAAATATATTTTCAGACAAATAAGATCTAATAAGCTGGTGTGGTGGTTCACACCTGTAATACCAGCACTTTGGGAGGCCAAGGCAACCTGGGCAACCTAGCAAAACTGTCTCTACAAAAAATTAGGTGGGCATGGTGCCACATGCCTGTCCTCCCAGTTTCTTGGGAGGCTAAGGCAGAAGGATCACTTGAGCCCATGAGGTAGAGGTTGCAGTGAGCGGAGGTCACACCATGGGGTGACAGGAGTGAAATCCTGTCTCATATCCACACAAAAACAAACAACCCCCCCCAATAGATGAGCCTTCACTAAAGAAAATACATTCTAAAGAATATATTTTAGATACAAGGTAAATGATTTCAGATTTAAGGTCAGAAATCCAAGAAGGAAGAGTGAGGGAAGACACTGGTAAACATATAGTTTCAATGTAATTCTGATTAAACTCCCAATAGTACTTCTGTGGAATTTGACAGGCTCCATCTAAACTTTACATAAAAGAATGAAGGTCTAATCATAGCCAAGATTCTCTTGCAGAAAAGGAACAAAGTAGGAGGGCTTCCTTTATTGGATATCCAGACTTGGAAAATTAAAGTAACAAAGGAAGTAAATAACCAGCACAGCTAAAAGCAAACAGACCAATAGACAGAATAAAGATCCTATCAATAGGCCCCTGAATATATGACAACTTTTTTTTTTGAGACGGAGTTTCGCTCTTGTTACCCAGGCTTGAGAGCAATGGCACGCTCGGTTCACTGCAACCTCCACCTCCTGGGTTCAGGCAATTCTCCTGCCTCAGCCTCCTGAGTAGCTGGGATTACAGGTATGTGCCACCATGCCCAGCTAATTTTGTGTTTTTAGTAGAGATGGAGTTCCTCCATGTTGGTCAGGCTGGTCTCGAACTCCTGACCTCAGGTAATTCGCCCGCCTCAGCCTCTCAAAGTGCTGGGATTACAGGCGTGAGCCACCGTGCCTGGCTGAGAACTTGATTTATGATGGAGAGGGCACTACAGATCAGAGGGGAAAAGGATGGACTGTTCCATTAACAGTACTGAGACACCAAAAGCAATAGTAATAGTAAAGGAAAGATCATTAAAATTTTACTACATTAAATGAAGAGTTTCTGTTCATCAAAAGAGATCATAAAAACAAGCCAAGAACTAGAAAAAAACTACCTGGAATACATACAGCTGAAAAAGGAGCAGTATCAAGAATGTTTAAAGAACCCCTTACAAATCAGGAAAAGATAAACAATCTAGAAAAAATATAAGCATAGGACACAAACAGGGATTTAATCACAGAGATTCATAATCCTATGAAACATGATAAACTTCATTAAGAAATCAACTATAGTCAACAACGTAAACATTTAAAAATAACTAAAAGAATATAATTGGATTGCTTATAACATAAAGGATAAATGCTTGAAGGGATGCATACCCAACTTTCCATGATTTGATTACTACCCATTGCAAAGTATCTCACGTATCCGTAAATATATACCTACTATGTACCTGCAAAAATTAAAAAAAAATTTTAAAACAGTGTCTTGAAATTCAAATTTAACTCACAACATGAACCATTATATACCCACTTTGGTGAAATTTCAAAGTTGGATAGTACAAAATGTTAATGAAGATGTAGAGTGACGGGAACGCTCATGTCTACTAGGGGGAGTATAGGCTTATGGAAAACAGTTTGGCGTTTCTCAAGACAGTTGAACATATGTGTATCCTACAATCAAGCAATTCTACCCTTAGGTACACATTTAAAGAAATGGTGACACATACGTCAGGAACCATGTGCAAGAAGGTTCACAGCAGTTTTGTTCGCAATTGCACGAAACAGTCCAACCACCATTAATGGTGTTATGATACACAAACTGAGTTCTGTATTGGAAGTTTCATTCCGTAAAATGCAGTATCATGCAGCAGTGAAACAGGAGTGAAATATAACTTCATCCATCAACAATGCTGAATCTAAAAAACTACTGAGTGAGGAAAGCAAGATAGAATACCCGAAATATAATTCTACCTACGGAAAGTTCAAACACAGGAAAACCAGATAATTTATAGTTTAAAAATATATGCGGAAATGATACACTTATAAAGAAGAGCAAGAAAGTGAGGAGTTAAAAATTTAAAAATTCGGATTGGTATTAGCTAGGGGCGAGGTGGTGGGCGTTAAAGAGGGACATACAACGGAAGTGGGGCACCTCGGGTATTCTAAGGTATCCGTAATTCTCTATTTCTTAAACTGAGGAGTGGGACATGTATGTTCATATATAAAAATTACATACTTAATGTATTTTAAGAATTGTATAATACACTAAATATTTTTATATATGATACATTTCATGGGAAAAAATACACATGCATTTTTCTGAACATTATGAGAAAACGGTTATAATAGGCCAACAGGAAAATAATTTACTGATGTTTTTACAATGTGATTCTCTATTTTGAATCCACTCTATACATTTTCAGAGGGATGCATCAAGATGGGATTCAGCCAAGCTTAGGAACAGAGCTGACACAGAAGCACCTGGTGATAAGCATGACCTCACACGAGATGCTATAAAACGTTATGGGCCACTCCTCTCTGCCTCACAGGTACAACTCTTAATTACTTCACTCAGTTATACAGAGAAGTACTGAAGGCTAGGTTCTATACAAGCAAACAGCATCACATGCCAGAACTGATTAAGCACCATAAATGGACCTCAAACAGTTAAGGCTGACAATGACTTCTAAAGCACACTTGAAAAAAGTATTCTTCTGCTACATACATTTACCTTACTTCAGAAGAACTGATACCTGCTTAAAGTTGCTATTCATGGAACTGAATTCTTTTGTTAAGCAGTATAAATGCTTACCTATGTTTAACCATTTTTTGATCATGGCAAAAATGGCTAAAGAATCTTGCATAGAACAAGTGCATGACAGCATGTTCTTTCCCTCCAATGTACAAATCCACGGGCATCCAGTAATCAGCCAATGCTGTGTCAAAAGGGCTGTAAAAAAGAGATGTGGGCATTTTTTAAAACCTACTTTGTCACAACTGTGTAAAATAAACAGACCTACTGTGATACACATATACCCCAAAATGAACTGTATCAGGGAATAACAATGACTTTCTTTTTAAAACATAAGAGAAGGCTGGGTGTGGTGGCTCATGCCTGTAATCCCTGCACTTTGGGAGTCCGAGGCGGGCAGATCACCTGTGGTCAGGAGTTCGAGACCAGTCTGATCAACATGGCAAAACCCTATCTCTACTAAAAATACAAAAATTAGCTGGGCATGGTGGTGGGCGCCTGTAATCCCAACTTCTCGAGAGGCTGAGGCAGAAGAATAGCTTGAACCTGGGAGGCGGAGGTTGCAGTGAGCCAAGATCACGCCACTGCACTCCAGCCCGGGAGAAAGAGTGAGACTCTGTCTCAAAAAAAAAAAAAATATATATATATATATATATATATATGATCTATAGTATATAATTATATATAAATATATATGAGAAAACTACATAATAAAGAAAAAACTCAGATCTGTTAATTTATAAAATTATAAAAATGGTTACACAGAAGATATTACTGACATATTTCAACCAATGCAGTTTGCATAGAAAATGAGGACAAGAGGAAAACATACAGTACAAAAAGACTTCTTGCTATAATGCACACTTGAGTATCTAGATTCACTTTAATTTTTATCATGATTAGACAATTGAGATTTTGGAGTTCCTACCAATAGAGGGCAATGTGGTATTTACATTATAGATTAGCATGCAGATACTAAATGTTTATTTATTAATTTATCTTCACATAAAAAAACATTTTTTTTTTTCTTTTTTAAAGATAGGGTCTTGCTTGGTCACCCAGGCTGGAGTATAGTGTCACAATCATAGTTCACTGCAGCCTCCAACTCCTGGGCTCAAGTGATCCTCTACCCTCACCCTTCCAAGTATCTATGACTACAGACAGACATCACTATGCCTAGCTAATTTTTTCTTTTCTGGTTTAATTATTATTATTTTTTGGAGATGGAGTGTCACTCTGTCACCCAGGCTGGGGCGCAGTAGTATGATCTTGGCTCACTGCAACCTCTTCCTCCAGGGTTCAAGCTATTCTTGTGCCTCAGCCTCCTGAGCAGTTGGGATTACAGGTGCCCGCCAACACGCCTGGCTAATTTTTGTATTTTTAGTAGAGACAGGGTTTTGCCATGTTGGCCAGGCTGGTCTCCAACTCCGGACCTCAGGTGATCTGCCTGCCTCAGCTTCCCAAAGTGCTGGGACTACAGGCATGAGCCACAGCACTGGGCCATCAGTCAATTTTTTTAAAAAAATTTTTTTGTGGAGACGAGGTCTTGCCATGTTCAGCCCAGGCTGGTCTTGAACTCCTGGCCTCAAATGATCCTCCTGCCTCAACCTCCCAAAGTTATGGGATTACAGGTATGAGCCACTGTGCCCCAGCCATAAATCTTTATTTTAAAACAGAAATTCAATTTTTTTTTAAAGAAGCCTGAAAATATAGTCGGCAAGAGCCTGTATATGGCTTATTGAATGCAATGCAGCATATTTAGAGTGAATTGTCATAAAATAGCCCAGTCAACTCTCTCTCACCTAACAGATACTTTTTGGCCAACAGATACTAACAGAAAGGCTTTCTCATATTCTCAGGTCCTAATGGACACTGGTGAGAAAAGGAAATACCATTTCCATTTTCTGGCTGGGACCCTTAGCGGGAGGGGGCAGCACTGGCTGGCACAGACCTCTGTGTTGCCAAGGTAATGCCGCCCCTTGAGGCCAGCCAATCAAGTAAACCTTTGCTTTTGGAGGACTTCGAATATTTGTGAATTGGCTCCCCGACACCTCAAGCCACTTTTTTCCCCAGGATGGTCTTGGCTGGCTTCAGCTCTGAGGTTAGAAAAAAGAACCTGGCCACCACCACGTATTTGCATCTTAATGTACTTTGGTGTTCTCCAGTCACTGCACCAGAATTCTGATAACATTTTTAAAAAACACTTTTTTTCTTTGTGAAAAATACTTCCCTTAAGAAATTCAACTGCCAATCCAGGCAACAGAATAGAAAGGGAAGTGAAGGATGGTATTTGGCCAGAAAACAAGTTTGGGATAAATTAAGGAGTGAAATGTTGAAAGTAGCTACAGCTCGGATTTATGATCCACTCTCAGGAAACCACCCTAGGAAGAACTCGCACCGAGGCTGAAGCTAACCACAGTGTGTCACGGGGGAAATGAAGTGCTCACTGCTATTCACAAAGTGGGGGATGTGACAGTCTCAGGATATCTCTCCCACCACAGTAACTTGGTCTCTCTCATCTGTGTGAAGGCTTTCCTTTGAAGCACTCTGAGAAAGTAAAGAGCCTGACTCCACTTGCATTCTAAGCCAGTTAGTTGTTACTACATGAAATGCACCAATGGCCTCTTATAGAGAGGGAAGGCCCTAAGGGAAGCCCCTCTGTGGGCCAGAGAAGGCCATGCTGGTGGTTCCCAGCCACAGTCGTCACCTTGCATCCTTCCTGCCTTAGCAGGGTATCTTTCACTCAGGACTCCCCTAATTTCTCTCTCTCATTCTCACTCTCCCTCCTTCTTTCATTAGAGAGGAAGTCTTGCTCTGTTGCCAGGCTGGAGTGCAGCAGCATGATTTCAGCTCACGGCAACCTCTGCCTCCTGGGTTCTAGCGATCCTCTGTCTCAGCCTCTTGAACGGCTGGGATTACAGGCATGTGCCACTACGCCCAGCTAATTTTTGTATTTTTGGTAGAGATGGGGTTTTGTAATGTCAGCCAGGCTGGTCTCCAACTCCTGATCTCAGATGATCCACTTGCCCAAAATGTTGGGATTACAGGCATGAGCTACTGCACCCGACCAGGATCCCCTTCATTTCTGAAATGAACTCAAATTATAGAATCACAATACTGCAGGCTGAAACTCCAGCAGGGTGAGGGCAGGAGTACCTGTCTCACTAGAAATAAATTATTTTAGAACCATGAATGGGGGGAATATTTTATACGTCGGTAACAGGTTTCCAGAATGTTTCTGCCATGGACATGGGTAATCAGGCAAGGCCCTTTCAAGCACAATGCTGTGTTTTTTCCTGGGCTCTGGAATAGTTTTTTTCAGCTCTCATTCTCTCTCTTTACCAGGCTACCTACTGCTTTCTTTCTCTTAATTTGTTTCTTCTTATTTTTTTTTTTGGTTCAAAGAAACACATGAATACAGATGAAAAATCAAATGGTACTGAAAGGTAACAGTGGTCCCCAGCCCCAATTCTTTCCTCACCTCAGGCCTGTCGTTTAGCCACTTTTAATTCATTTGGTTGTTTCTCCCAGTAATTTATTGGAAAAAAAAAGTTCATACTCTTTATTGATTTATCAATTTAGGAAATGATCTGCTGACTATGTGGTCAGAGGTGAAGCTTCTTGGCTCTCTCACCCTCCCCACCTGCTACCTTCCCTGTAGAGCCACATCATTCTTTTCAGTTAAATAAATAACATTACATCTTTACAATCATACAAATGGCGTTCACTGCAAGGAGGGGATTACAATAGCACTGTCTTCCTTTCTCTGTTGTGTATTTGTGTTGTACTTGGGATTTACTTGGCTGTGAATAATCTAACTTAATAATGTAGCACACTCTCTTTAAGAGAGCCTGTTCCGAGAAGCACAGTTGGCTGACAGCTTCCAGCTGCTGCATCTGTGGACCCGCTCTGGTGTGCTCCTGCCAGCCCATGCTGCTCTCCCAGGATGCTCCCAGGAGAGCAGAGGAAGGGGCTGGACCAGAGCCATTTTAGCCTGACTGGGGACTCTAATGGACAAGCTTTGCCTGGGGCTTCTCGCTGGCCAGGCCGAGGCTTTCTCAGAGTTATGCTGTGGGCTGTGGCTCCTCCATCCGATCCTCCTTCCTTTCTCTTCTCCTTTCACACCTGTCAGCTCCATCGTGGTCTAAGAGCCCTTTCTGCCCACTCCTCTCTTCTCCCCTTTCATCTGCACAGGATGTCCCCCAAGAAATTTCTTGCATGTCTAATTCCATCTTGGTCTTAGCTTCAGGGAGGAGCCACATTGACGTGCTGAGGGACATCAGCAGGGACACTTTTACCTGTGTGGATTGTAAGGGTCAGTGTATCTGAAGTAGTACCAAGCAGAATCAACAAAGGTATCCATAGTGTCTGTCTCTCTCTTGGCTGCTCCCTTGCACCTAAGAAAGAAATGAGGTTCATCAATTGGTTGCTTTTTAAATGTTAATGCGGTTTTCCACCAGCTTTTGAGAGAGACAATAAGTATAAATTTAAAACGTCACAAGAATAAAGCCACATATGAAAAGACAATTCAGGAAAAATTCTTTTTATATGGTATAGTACATGATGTTTTAAAGAAATTTACAAAATAAAAGTTTCAATTTTCAACAATTAAAAGCCTTATTCTCTACTTCTCTGAATTTAATCTGGTAGAAAGCTTCACCATCCAAAAGGACAAAACAGGATTAGGTATCTCTTTTGTGCATTAACTTCTGTTTCGGCATGTCAAGATTGCCTTTGCCAATGCCCAGTGTGATGCTTGTGAAACCAATCAATGCATGAAGAGAAATGAGAACCAAATAAAGGGAGATGCGTGGAAAATAACCTTGGATTTTTTTTCTACTTCTGTTCTAGGGTGACAGGTGCAGAAATCTACCAGCATGACCTGAGGAAGACAAATCACCTTGGAAGCCCCAAAGGCAATGGTTGCTGAAGCCAGCTCAGGCCACCCTGTGAAAATCAATCGTTGGCATCTCTTCATAACATCCTGACAAAAGATGGCAAGTTGATAGTGTGAAACTGGCCCCAATGGGAGTATGTACGTCACAGAAATTGGCAAATGCTAGAAATCAGGACCCCCCTTCAAAGCTAGTTATTATATATCTACTACCAGACCACTGCCTAAAGGTAGGCTCTTTATGAAGAAAGCCCTGGTGTTCAAGACAGAGAATGAAGTGAGATCCTTGATGTATGAAGGGTTGAAAAGAAAAAGGAATCCCTGTCCTAGGGATGGACATGTCCAGAAGGACCAAGGTCTCACAAGGGCCCAAGTATTACAATCACTCTTTTTTGTGTGTGAGACAGAGTCTCATTCTGTCACCTGGGCTAGAGTGCAGTGGCTTGATCTCGGCTCATTTCAACCTTTGCCTAACGGGCTCAGGTAATTCTCCTGTCTCAGGCTCCCAAGTAACTGGGATTACAGGCACATGCCACCATGCCTAGCTAATTTTTGTATTTTTAGTACAGACAGGGTTTCACCATGTTGGCCAGACTAGTCTCGAACTCCTGACCTCAACTGACCTACCCACCTCAGCCTCCGAAAGTGCTGGGATTATAGGTGTGAGCCACCGCAACCAGCTGATACATTCATTCTTAAGAACATTCCTAGAGTTGTGGGCCTGTGGGACTGAAAGAACCATGTGCCAAAAGCCACACTACCTAGGAACTCGAAAGCAAGTGCCCTTAGTCAAGCCTAGCACAGGACAGGGCTTGGACCCCTTGTAGACTCCTCAAGGCCTGGATCAGCAGATAATCAGCACCTTCTGTCTGATGGATAGGGCCAGCTATCAACAGGGCCTTCTGGGGTAGCAGGAAGCCCTACCAGCCTCTCCCTTCTGAAGCATGGATATTTGTGAGACTCATCGCCTCTCCAAATATCACACTTTGGGCAGTGTAAGTCATTTGGGGTTCTTGGAGAATTTGGGGAGAAGGGATGAGGAGTCCCAAGAGGAACTGATAAATCTTCTGCTAATTTAGCATGCATGGGCTTGAGTGTATTTTTAATTTAAAAATAAACGAAGGGTTGCATCTATATCTTCCATTTGTGAAGTAGTTCATACCAGCTTTACAAATATTACCCAAGGAAACAGCCAGTCCCCCACCTACTCCCCCACCTCCCTCATCAGCTGATTAAATGTAGTAGCTGAGCAGAGAGCATGGGAGCCCTAGATCTGGCAGGGCTTTGGGACCCCCTGCATTTAATCAGGGGACCTCCCAATGGGAACAGTGGTGGTCTCTAAGAGTAGAAGCTTTATAGAGAAAGCCCTCAGGGAATCCAGCTTCCCACCACCCAGAGCCGCTCTAAGAAGCTCATCTCAACGGTGCATCTCTAAATTAAAGCCAGGTCTTTTTATTTGGAGAGCAATCAACCAGAACGCAGATACTATTTTGGGAAATAATTAGAAAATAAAGATTACTTTTTCTTCCTCACTTACCTTGTGCAAGTGAGGTCCAAGTGAAGGAGAAAATACTGGGCTCAATTTATAAAAGGAATAACAGCTGGCTCACATTTGCAACGCTGATTTCCTTTTTACTGGTCCTGTTGGACTTGAAGGCACCATGTTTTTATTGCTAATACTAGAAACTAGGTGATAAGGAAGATGCTATGTGACAAGCAGGAGGAACAGAACTGACAGATAATGGTAGTAACATTATCAGGATTAGCTCCAACAGTAATGATAATAATACTGGGTAGTAAGAACTGAGCCGAGTACTTCAAAAGTATTATCTCATTTAATCACCATTATTCCTGGGGATTATGAGATACTACTCGTATCCCCATTTTGCAGATGGGTAACTAGGAGTCAGAGAGGTTAAGAAACCTGTCTAAGGTCTTGTAGTTCAAGAGTAGGGAATCCACATCTGCTGGGCTCTGGTGCCTGCGGTCTATACCGCTGGGCTGCCTCGCTTGGCCACACTGGCTCAGTGGCTCTCTCAGCCTTGGATGCTCATTAAGGTCATCCAGGGAGCCTTGCCCAACACCAAGGCCTAAGTTCTGCCCTCCAGTCACTCTGCAGACAAGACAGGAAACCTTATCCTCATCAACAAGGCCACAACTGCTGTGCTGTATGGAGGCCGCCAGCATCTCTGGTAGGGAAGCCCTTTGTCGGTGCTTCAACAAAAAGGGTGTGCTATTTTCCTCCTGGAGCCAGCATTTCTACCCTAAAGCGGCCTGGGCCTTCCTGTATACCTGCCTCCAAGGTCCATCTTGAATTTCAAAACTGCCTCAGTGAGGACCTGGGAGGATGGCTGGCAAGCCCCTGGCTAGATGGAAGTTTCCATTTATTGAACGCCTAGTAGGTATCACTGTGCAGGATTACATGTGTTAATTCTAGTCTTCTGAACAGCCCTTCAGTGGGGCCATTTTAGTTCCTGATGAGGGATTTCAAGCTCAGAGGAGGTCAATGACTTTCTCAAGGCTAGATAGTTAGTTAAGAGGCAGAGCCAGGACTTGAATCCATCACTGATCTGACTCCCAGCTCAAGACTCCCTATTACACTATATGGCTACTTGATTGTCAACCTCGTAACTCAGCTCTATACTGGCAGGATACAAAATTATTTAAAAATATCCTCATCATGATCTGTAAGGAAGAGAAAAATGGCTTCTCCACAGAAGAAGGAAAATACTGGACCTTGGTATCTGCTATTTTTTAATTAGCTGATATGGCGTCACTGAAAAGCACACTTGAGACATGCCAGTGAACTGACAGAAAAACATAATCCCACTTCTAAAATGAGGAGGAAGGAACCACGGTGCTTCAGCATATGAAAGAATGAAGCCCTTGAGCGCACTTGCTCTCTTAGCTACTACTCTGCTACTCGTGATAAAATTTCCACTGTTGTTATAGTCACTATATTGGAAAACTGCAAAGCGGAGAAGAGAACATTTCGTTCCTTTCCACCGGCTCTTTGGAATATCAAAATGGAGGACCGTGGATTTTTACAAAGCTGTGCAGAAAATTTACAGCTTTTCCATTAGTTGGATCAGATGTTTCTGGGACAGATCTAAACTGACACTGCTGCTTCCAACAGCTCAGAGAAGGGAGGATGCCCAGTGCAGAGGCAGGGCCACAGACTCCAGACCCTTCTCTTAAAGGGCCCCAAAGACTCAGTGTTCTTTCCAGCCTCATGGAAGTCAGGAAAAAAGGGAGCAGGGGGGCACCAGGAGGGAGGAGGGTGTCTGAAGCCCTAGCAGGTATGGGGTCACAGGCACAGTCACCGCTGCAGGGACGTGGCTCCTTACCTCGGGCAGGAGCAGTTCACCCACTCTGAAGCCATGGCCAGTGGGGAACCTCCCTTGCCAGTGAGAGACGCGATGTTGGGCAAGGTCACGGGCAAGTCCTCCAGGGGCACAGGCGTGGGACCACACACTGGACAGTGGACAATGGGGACCGGTGTGCCCCAGTACCGCTGCCGTGAGATCAGCCAGTCTTTCAGTTTATCACTAGTCACGTCTCCACCCACTCTCTTTCCCCGGGCTTTCTGAGTCAGGGTTAGAAAAGCATCATGCCGGGTCATACCTGTGAACTGAGAGGGAGAGAAAAGAGAGCTCACTCCACTCTGCGTAGCAAGCACGAGTCACCACCCCCACACTGCCACCCGTCCTGCCGTGTTTATGTGTGGCTCTCCTAAGGGACCAGTTCTGTGCAGCGCTGTAGCGTGACTCACATGAGCCCCAGGTGCTTCTGCCTTTGTAGGCTCCTTGTTCCTTCAGATAATATTAAAAATTATATTTTACAACTGCATCAATATAAAGACAAATATAACTTTTGACCCTAAAAGTTCATTTTTTTCTTGTGATTTTAAAAGAAATTTTCAGAGGCCTCTAAAGGTATTGTGGGCCCTCGGCACTGTGTCTACTGTGTCTCATAAGAAGTTGGCCCTGGTTCTGTGGCTTTCCTTATCATCACAGCCCTGTGATACCTATGGAGATCAAATACCAGCTTTTAGCTGCCAGCAAAGAACTGCATGATATGTATTTTTAATGACTACTCTCCCCTGTTGGGGGTAAAATATTCAGAAAATAAAAATTCAATATTATCCTAAAGCAGAGGGAATTCAGGCAAGGAGAGGAACATTCTGAGGCCTTGGCTTGAAGAACTCAACCACTCTTTTTATATTTAAATGCTCCCAGTTTATAGATAGCAGGGCAGACGACTAATAGCGCAAAAGAGAAATTATCTTTTCACTTGGTGCTTTTTAGAGAGCCAAACTAATCATATGAATTGAGCCAGTGTGGCTCGGTAACAACCCGGATTGTGGGTACCCTCAAATTTGTTCACTGAAGACCTGCTGGGCACCTGGATGTGCTGGGCTTGTGCTAGGCATTGCGGGCACAAAGATAAATATGATCTACCCATGTCCTCAAGGAGGTTACAGTCAAGAGGCATAAATAAGAAAATACAGCGATGTTTATGAAAAGTAGCCCTTTCATGAATGGTCTGAAGTATCTTTCTGTATTCCCATTATCACACGGTCGTGATGCAAATCATAAAAGCTCTCCTGAAAGTCAGTCTTCTCCTAACATCACTGTCTGTCCATCCTAGAAGCCCACAGATGAAAGCAGCTTTCCCTGTCCATTTTCCTTCTACTTATTGAAATTCTTTTACTCTAGATATTCAGCCTAGAGCCAGGAGAGGCTTCAACAGACCATCTGAAACTGTGTGAAAGAAGCCAGGGAGCATAATTAATGCTCAGAGTACTATACTAAAGAGTGGATGTTTCTCCGGTCACTTCAGAAGCCTAATTTTGGTCCCCTTTCTTGCCCCGTAGTGGGTTAACTGGGGTTCCTTACAGACACCATGACTTCTCTTTGCTCCACCTCCAGGGATCCTGCTCAAACAAGGTCTAAATAAAGGCTTAAGATCATGACTCAGATCTGGGGATGCAATTTATGATGGCACAATCATGGGGTTAGAAAAAATGCCCTCCTTGCAAAGGAGAAAACCTGATCATTATTCTCTTATTCTCTCTCTATATATACCATAGCCAGATAGTTGCAAACCTGAAGCACTTGGATCTTTAGGACTCACTGAATCAAGATCAGCCAGGGTGGGACCTGTAAGCACCTCCCAGGTGATTCTGAACCATGGCCAGGTGTGGCATCACTATGTTAAGTCAGTAGTTCCCAGACTCTGCTGCACATTAAACCAACTAGGAAGCTCTGAACACTGTCGGTGTCTGATCCGTGCCCTCACCACCAATAACCATCAAATCAGTATCTGGAGTGAGACTCAGGTGGCGAGATGCTTTAAATGCTTTCAGGTGTTTCCAATGTGCCGTCAAGTTTAAGAGTGCTCTAACTAAGGCAGTACTCCCAAACTTTTAATGTGCATACAAATCATAGAGGGATCTTGTTAGACGAGGGTGGGATATAAGATTCCACATTTCTAACAAGTGATGCCAGTGCTGCTGGTCCAGGGACCGGACATTGAGTGACAAGGTTCTAAGCCCTTGATTCTCAAAAGGTGTTCCCTGGACCAGCAGCATTAGCAGCAGTATCTGGAAACTTGTTAGAAGTGCAAATTTTGGGGTCTCACCTGGCACTACTAAATCAGAATCCTTGGGGTGGGGGTGGGGCCAGGCTGTGGTTTAATAAGGCCACATGGGGATTCTGATGTGTGCTCAAGTTTGAGAATCACTGCTCCCAATACCTCCTCCCATCCCTCACCCTCTCTCTTCCAACCTACTTTTCATGTTAGCTCAACATAGAGGCTGGGCTCAAATCCTACCAGATGTACCATCTTTAAGTGCGGCTGTTTCATGCTAGCAAGAGATAACCCTGACCAAATAAACATGACTCTGAACTTCCCTGTTCATTTCTATAAGTGAGTTAAACTTTAGGCAGAAAATAGTGTCAGTAATCTGGAGAGAACAGGTATCTCCTCTAGGAAGAAGAAACAATTTCAGTCATCTCTCCCAAGGAACCAGAGATTCCTTAGGAAAGATAATTTTTCTCAAGCAGAGACTCCCAAAATAAAATTAGTTACTTCGATACCATTCTATTCTAGGACTGAATTTGACTTACAGTTGACAAACTTCTAGAACTTGAAGAATATTATTTTGTTTTCATAAATGAAGATATGAAGCTACAGGCTGTTAGGTACGGGATGAGTGAAGGAACAGGTTGTAATCTGCGCCTGAAGGAAAATGTCTCATCAAGGTCGTATCAAGGTGATCATTCTGGAAGTAAGTTCTTAGGCACCAACCTCAGCAGAGTTGCTCAGTCGCTCTGTGCCATCTGGCAAAGTTTCAATGACTTCAGAGTAGGCCAGGCCTAGGGTTTGGGCTAAGATGGTGTCCTCCGAGCTGGTGCTGGGAATTCCTATTCAGAGGAGAAGAAAAGCAAACATTTCCTTCACAAGCGCCCACATCACAATACAACTGACAGTACTGATACCCAGCGTTAGCTCCTTAAAGGAGACATCTCTTTTAGTTATAGAAGTTTTAGGCCAGGCTGGTGGCTCATGCCTGTAATCCCAGAACTTTGGGAGGCCGAGGCAGGCGGATCATGAGGTCAGGAGTTTGAGACCAGCCAGGCCAATGTAGTGAAACCCCATCTCTACTAAAAATATAAAAATTAGCCGGACATGACGGTGCATGCCTGTAATCCCAGCTACTCAGGAGGCTGAGGCTGAAGAATCACTTGAACCCAGGAGGCAGAGGTTGCAGTGAGCCGAGATCATGGCACTGCTCCCCAGCCTCTGTGACAGAGTGAGACTTTGTTTCCAAAAAAACACCGAAGAAGTTTTAAAACCACATCACATTCATTGGGAAAATGGAAAATGGTCTGGGAGAAACCAACTGCTAAAACATAACTAGTTTACTATATTGGTATTATTTCCTTTAAGTCTTTCCTCTGCTTAGTTTTTGTTTGTTTGTTTGTTTGTCTTGAGACAGAGTCTTGCTGTGTTGCCCAGGCTAGGGTGCAGTGACATGGTCTTGGCTCACTGCAACCTCTTTAAGCAATTCTCATGTCTCAGCCTCCCGAGTAGCTGGGATAACATGCCTGGCTAATTTTTGTAGTTTTAGTAGAGACAGGGTTTCACCATGTTCACCAGGCTGGTCTCAAACTCCTGACCTCAAGTGATCTACCCACCTCAGCCTCCCAAAGTGCTGGGATTACAGTTGTGAGCCACTGTGTTCAGGCTATTTTTTTTTTTTTAATAGTTATAATCCTTATACATTTTTTAGTTCTTTTTTTGCCACTGGAAATCATAAGCATTTGGGGAAGCCTCTTCCTTGAATTCCCTTAGTAGCAGAGGATAGTGGGTTTCTCTCGAGAAGCAGGGCTGACTCCTCTAGCATTTCCTAGCATCCTAGAAAAATCCACTCAGTCGGGAAGTCGAAAGCTGGTAACTATGTTTTGTTCCCAAAGGCAATAGTACATTCTAAGTAGATATTTATTTTTCAACCCACATATGTTCTTGAGAAGTTTAGCATTAGAAAATCACTCACCCAGGGGGGCCAGGGCCTGCTGTTCTGGCTTCGGCTATTCATAACAACAGGCTTTTTCCCAACCTTGGTGCTACTGGCATCGTGGACATTGTGGTGGGGGTTGTCTTGTGCACTGCAGGATGTTGAACTGTACCACTAGCATTCCCTGAGTTACGACAAACAAAAATGTCTCCAAAACGGCCAAATGTCTCCTGGTGGCAAAAGCTCCCCTGGTTGAGAACCCCTGCTATAGGGTCATCTGTCAAAGCCGCTGACACACTCATGGATACAACACATTGTGTGAAGAGATATGAAGACAAGGGTATTGCACAAGATGCTTAAGTCAGATCCCGGAACAACGCCCTAAGACAGCGGTTGAATGTTTGGGAGACATGTTCTAAAGCCCCCAAATGTGAGTAAAGCTTTGTGACATGATGGAAAGTTCTGTAGTGTTCTAACTGAGATTACAGACAAAATGCATCTAACGCAATGAATAAATGTTGAGTGGACTTGAAGGACGAGAACAAATGGCAAGCAACGAAAAGTGTTCATAGTCAAGAAGGGAAAATAGTCATTTACTACATTCTAAAATAGAATTTAGAAAAACTAGGAGTACTGTTTAAAAAAAGACACTGTAATCACAAAATGTATTTGGCCGTATAGAGAATGCCCCAGGCCATGGTGGTAGTCACGTGGCACTCAGCTGAATGTGAACTATTTGTAACAGTGTAGGTGGGAGGCAAAAATACCACTTCATCTCCTGTTTATTTCTGTATTTGTTCTTCTTGGAGGGCAAAAAGCAAAAATTTGGAAAAAGTTATGAAACTATAGGAAATCAAGACAACAGGAGAAACAGTTTTCCACATGCACCTAAAAAAACCCGACTTTTTTTCCTTCAAAACTCTCAAAATTGTATAATTTGATTCAAAATATCAAACAAACAAACAAACAAACAAAAAGCTCCCCCAAAAGCCACATCAATAAAAGCTGCCTTTCTGTTTATCCTGGCTGGTTACATTAATCAATTCTACTAATCGTAAAATGCATAAAAGTAACATTGAATTATTTCTTTAAACAACACACTTTCTAGGTTTAAATGGTCAGAAGAGAGTAACATCAATTTTCTGTTTTGACGTTTCTTCAAACCACTTCATCAAAAACTGATCTGAGCATTACAAAGGAAAAAAATGTGAATTTAAGAAGAAATGGTATTTCTGTGTGCTAGGAAATAGAGTGGAAATAACTTTCTCTGCAAGGTTTTGGGACTCGAGAGACTGGTTGGAATCTACAGGAGGAATGTTGGTAATGAAGACGCGGAGGTCTATCCTAAAGGAGGCAGATTTTGGACAGAGCCGTCTTTAGGTTCCCTTCTCTTTGTTCATTCTCAGACTTCCTGTTACATGACGATAGTTTAGAACGCTCACGAATGAGTAAGGCTGCCAAGGACATCCAATTTACAGTTCTAAATATGCCTTCAATTTTACTGCTGTTTCACAATCCTTTTCTTGAATAGCTCCAGTTCGCCTCCTCCACAAAGCCTTCACCAAAAACCCAGCCCACATCGATCATTTGTGCTTCATTTGAACCCCCGTCCCAGCAGTTGCTGTTGGTTCTATGAGTTTTCTTTTCTTTCTTTTTTTTTAAATTTAAGCTGGTAGTGTACCTGGGATGGTTCTATGAGTCTTGAAATTGGATTTTCATCTGAGTTGCACTGTTCCTCATATCATATGTACAAATCTTATCAACAAACTCTACTGGCAAGAATTTGTAGGTCAAACATTTCTTATTATTCCCAGTAGCAACTAGCAAAGTGCAATATACCTAGTATGTTTTCAAAATCTAGTTCTGAAACAAGGGATAATTAAATGAAGGGGTATTCTTTTCTTTCTTTCTTTTTTTTTTTTTTTTTTTGAGACTGAATCTTGCTCTTGTTGCCCAGGCTGGAGTGCACGGGTGCCAATCTCAGCTCGCTGCAACCTCTGCCTCTCAGTGATTGCAGTGATTCTCCTGCCTCAACATCCCAAGTAGCTGAGATTATATACACCCACCACCACACTCAGCTATTTTTTTGTATTTTTTAGTAAAGATGGGGATTCACCACGTTGGCCAGGCTGGTCTCGAGCTCCCAATCTCAGGTGATCCACCCAGTTCGGCCTCTCAAAGTGCTGGGATTACAGGCATGAGCCACTGCACCTGGCCAGGTATTCATTTTTATAAAGACACAAATCAGACCATGGAATCAACAGTCAGCTCTTCCAGATGACAGCAATAGGGAGGTATTTTGATCTTAAATCTGCAAAATATACTGTTGTAGTTACAATTTAATAGTTGCTCACCTATTTTGGAATCCAGAGAGCCTCCAAGGTCAGCTTTGGCCAAAATAACGACAGGGACCTCCTGCTGGGTGAGCATGTTCACAGCTATCACTGGCGTGAGGCAGTCTGAAAACGAGAGCAAATAACTGTGGATGCCACTCAACTGAGACACCAACACCATCTGAATCTCAGAGGAAACAAGTGAGAAAAAGAAGCGCTAGAACTTCTGTGCTTTGTGCTAATTGTTAAAGAAGTTGTCCTTTGTAGGGTATTAATAGATAATTCACACCAGTCAAAAATCGAAAAATTAAACATGCACACGAGAAAATGTTCTTCCATGCTCATGAAAAGTGAAAAAGCATTTTTGCTTTCCAGATGGTGGAGTAGACATTCCCATCACCATCTTTTCCTTTTGAAAATACCTCAAATATACAGAAGATGAGAAACACAAAGTCTACCTGTAGTGAAACCGGGGACATCAGAAATTCCAAACCACCATAACACTTAAAGATGGAAGCAGAGTGGGAGTAGAAAATGATTGAGCAGAAAGGAGAAATGAGATTTCCAGATATCCTAAGGCCAAAGAGTTCTTACCCATGTACCCTTTCCTTAAGAGATACTGGAGAATGTGTTCCAGTAAAATGAAGGGGTAAATCAAGAAAGAGACAGACATAGGATCCAGGAAACAAGGAATGGAACAAGGAAAAAGTATGAGGACACTCACAGAGCAAAGACAGAGGGAAGTTCTAGGAGGCCAGTTTGCAGCAGAGGCCTGGAGAATGACCAGGTCAGATCTGAGCAGTACACTGGGCCCCAGGAAGCATCTTTGGGAAAATCAGGAAATTGATAGATTATCTGACAGGTTGGAATGTGCAGAAAACAGCACTGAGAGGAGTTTCAAAGAAATATGGGGGGTGTACAGGAAGACTTAGCCAGAATTTCAAAGAATACAAAGTAAATGGGGGGAAAAAAAAAAGAAGACAGTATGAACATTAGGAAAAATAAGTTATACAAAAAGGAAAATGTATTTGGATCAGTTGTGAACAATATTTATGTGGCCCTAATAAAACATTAAGGATTTATTCTAACGTTGTATTACATTGTAACATCCTAACATTGTATTACATTGTATCATCCTAACATTGCATTATGTTATTTAAAATAACATCTCATTTAAAATTTTTATTTATATAAATTTTTTTTTTTTTTTTGCAGAGACCCGGGGGTCTTGCTATGTTGCCGAGGCTGGTCTCCAATTCCTGGCCTCAAGCGATCCTCCTACTTCAGACTCCCAAAGTACTGGGATTACAGACAGGAGCCACTGCACCCAGCTAACACTGTATCATCTGAAATGAAGTTTATTACAACTACTGCAGTGAGAAGACAAGCCATATATACATATACGTGAATATGCAGAGAGCTGGAAGAATAACGACCTAAGTAAAGTCCTAACGGAAGAAGAGATGAGACAAGGTAGACAATCAGTGAGTTCACTTGAGTTAATTTACAATATAAGCAATTAACAGTTATGAATTCTTACTATTTATAATACTTGCCATGTTTTAAGACTTCATGTAATTATCTATTTTACAAGTGCCCAAATTAAAATAAATCTAAGAATTAGGGCCTATATTTATTTCTTAAGATTATTTTTTAAAGTATTTATTTATTTAGAAATAGTGAGACCCCCGATTCTCCCAAGTAGCTGGAACTGCAGGTGTGTGCCACCAAACCCAGCTAATAGTCTTTATTTTTTGTAAAGCCAGGGTCTCCCTATGTTGCCCAGGCTGGTCTTGAACTACTGGGCTCACACAATCCTACCACTTCGGCCTCCCAAAGTGCTGGAATTACAGGTGAGAACCACTGTGCCTGGCCAGGGTCTATATTTCAAAGAGTAATAACTAACTGACTCTGTAGGCATCTAAGCTCGCTCTTATCTTTTATTACCTTGGTGTTGGGAAGCACAGGATGAGATATGGTAGGGAAATGCAATCCCAATGGGTCTCCAGCCAGCACCCATGAAACAGATATATTAGCTGGGAGATACGTGTTACCTGAGCTGGCTAAGTGTAGACTCACTTCTCAAAGTGGAAACCCATTTTTCAATTCCACACTATCTTTTCTTTTCTTTTTTTTTTTTTGAGATGAGGTCCCACTCTGTCACCCAGGCTGGAATACAGTGGTGTAATCTCAGCTCACCACAACCTCCGCCTCCCGGGTTCAAGCAATTCTAGTGCCTCAGCTGCCCAAGTAGCTGGGATTACAGGCATACGCCACCAAACCTGGCTAATTTTTGTATTTTTAGTAGAGACAGGGTCTCATCATTTTGGCGAGGATGGTCTCAAACTCCTGACCTAGGATGATCCACCAGTCTCAGCCTCCCAAAGTGCTGGGATTACAGGCATGAGCCACCACTCCTGGCCTCCACACTATCTTCTCTCAAAGAAGAAATGTATATTTTCAAATTTTGCAATTATAACATGACGTTATCAGGAGGCTGGGAGGTGAGGGCTGGTAGAATAAAAGTCACTAGGTAATATCTAAAACTGGTGAATTGAAAAATAGTAGTATAGGCATATACGGCATATGGATAGACATACAGACAGGGAGGTCTATGCCGGAGAAACAGTGCATGGCACAGACTATCAGTTGACCCCTGTACCTGCCTCCTCTTCTGACTCAGCAATAGAATGTTGAGTTGGACACATGGCTATTGTGTTTAATTAATGGAAGCACTGTTCAGTCTCCTTTGCAGCTAGGTGTGGCCATGGAAGATGTACACAAGCAACTGCTAGGTCACAGCCTCAGAGAGAAGGGGCACACCCTTCTACCCACCCTTCCCCACTTCTTACTTCACTGGAACACAGATCAAGTGGAGAGCAACTTACAAACACGGAGGAGGGCAAGACTCTAGAAGGGCAGAGCAGGAAGAGAAGACAGAGGAGCACTACCCTAACCACCTCACAAAGCAGACTTATCACACATGCTCAAGTGTTTCATGTGGGTAGAATAAACACCTGTTTATCTAAGCCTCTATCATAGCCACCAAACTTGTATCCTAAGTGATACAAACGTAAAATAAAAGTGTTTGGATAAGGAGGCTGCTTTCATTGTTCTTGTTAGTACCCTTTGACTTTTCATATAATATATCGCTTGGACTTTAAAAACCAAGTTAGTTTTTAAAAAGAGAGATGAAAATTAGAGTGATAAGTCAGCAAAATGTTTTAGCAAGGTGACACTAATGTTCGTGAAATCACGGTGGAATGCATATATCATTGGATATAGCATTATAAATTGACATAGCCCTTTTGGAAACCATGTAACAAGAAATAGAAGAATGTTTCTAACCTTTGACCAAAAAAAAAAAAAAAAACCACACTTGGAAATATCTCCTATGGAAAATTCTATGAAGCGAAGAGCCACATGGACATAAAAGGTCACAGTAGTTATCTCCATGATAGCCCCAAACATGAAAAAAGCCCAATGTGCAACATGATAGGAAAGACTTAGGATATTAAGGTACACTGAGTTGACAGAATATTATGTATGGATTAGAAAACAATTGTGAAGCCTGCATAAAAACACAGAAACGCTTTCTGATAGCATATTAAGTGAAAACCAGAAAATAATGAGGCAGAAGCAGCCTGATTTTTAAGATAATGTGGGAATGTGAGTTAAAAAGTAACATGACCATGTGGTGCAAAAGAATGAAGTTAACCGGGCCAGGTGTGGTGACTCATGCCTGTGATCCCAGCACTCTGGGAAGCCGAGGTGGGTGGACCACAAGGTCAGGAGATCGAGACCATCCTGGCTAACATGGTGAAACCCTGCGGTGAGCCAAGATCGTGCCACTGCACTCTAGCCTGGGTGGCAGAGCAAGACTCTGTCTCAAAAAAAAAAAAAAGTTGGATCCTTATCTCACACCATATATAAAAATTAACTCCAAATGGATTAAAGATCCAAATGTAAAATCTAAAACTATAAAACTCTTATAAAATAAAATATGTATAAAACTTTGTGGCCTTTTACTAGGCAGTGGCATTTTAGATAGAACATGAAAAGCAAAAGCAACAAAAGAAAAAATAGATAAAATGAATTTCATTGAAACAAAAAACTTGTGCTTCAAAGGGCACCATGAAGACTCATTCTCAGAACTGGAAAACAACTTAGTAAACTATATATCTGATAAGAGACTAGTATCTAGAATATATAAAAAACAGCTAAAATAATAAAAAGATAAATTAAAAATTAAAATGAAAATTAATTTTTAAAAAGGGCAAGAGAACCGAATAGACATTTCCCCAAAGAAGACATAAATGGCCAATAAACACATGAGAAGATGCCTGGCAATGTTAGCCATCAGGGAAATGCAAATTAAAACTACACTATGGTATCATATCATACCCACCGGGATGACCATAATCAAAATGAGCACAGACAATAAGAAGTGTTGGTAGCGATGTGGAGAAACGGGAATGCTCATACACTGCTGGTGGGAATATATGAAGCATTGTAAAAAATGGTGAAGCAGCTTTGGAAAATAGTCTGGCAGTTCCTTAAACTTCATGGCTCAGCAATTCTACCCCTAGGAATATTGCCAAAGAAATAAAAACATACATGCACATAAAACTCTTTATTAATGTTCACAGAAGCATTATTCATTATAATAGTAAAAACCCAAATGTCTTATCAGTTAATAAAAATGGACAAATAAAATGTGTAATACAATTTGTCATACACTGTGTGTAATACAATGAAGTATTACTTGGAAACAAAAAGGAAAGAAAACATTATGCCAAGTGAAAGGAGCAGGACAATAAGAAGACAAATGTTGCATTTGGTTCTATTTACAAGAAATGTCCAGAATAGGCAGATCTATAGAGACAGATGGTAGATTAGTGATTGCCTAGGGCTGCAGATTACACAAGAATCAGGGAGGGGTGACTGCCAGAGGGTCTGAGATTTCTTTTTGGGATGATGAGAATGTTCTAAAATTGACTGTGGGGATGGTTGCATGAATTTGTGAATATATTAAAAACCATGGAATTGTGTATGTTAAATGGGTTATGATATGGTATGCTCAGTCGTTACAGAAGAAAGTAATATGAAAAAAAAAAGTAGTGTACTGCATGAAAGAGTTGAACTGTTTTTCATTCCACATTAAAGTTATATTATACCAGTTTTTCAGTTAGGACAAAAATTATCTTGGAACTTAAATATTAGCAGGTTTACAATGAATGGATAGTAGCAGCTTGCGGTTTGCACCCAGTCAGAATCTATTTTCTAGTAACAACTCAATTAAAATCAAAAGTTCCTGAATAGGTCTCCTGTGTTCTCCATATATCTGATGTTTCCTTTGTAATTATTAATGTGTTTAATAATCATAAAAAAATTAAAAAAAAAATCACTCCTGAGCTAGTGATGTGATGCAGGGATCCAAGAAAGTGAAATATAAAGAAACGAAAGCATTTCACATAGTAGTCGGGTAACAGCAAAGCACTGTGGTAATTACAAAGGAAACATTCCAGACAAAAAGGTGTCTGTCCTTTGCTCTCAGGGCACCCACTGCAAAGAAGGCAGGGGTCTCACACCCTCTGGAAAAACAAAGGACTTTCATTTGGTGTTCTCCAAGGCAGCAGTCCATATAACTAGTTCCTAGGAGATACTCCATGGAAACAGGGCTCCGTGGTCAACTGAGTGTGACAAGTGTTGACTATGACTTCCTCTCTCAGACAGTCCCAGTGCATATTAGCACAGCAAAGGTTCTCAGAAGTCCAAAACAAAGATACTTGTTTATTTTTGTTTATTCCAGATTTGTTGAGCACAGAAGCTTTTCCTTTCACATAACATTGAAGAATGCTACTTGAAACAGTTTGATGGAAAACCAAACCATTACCCCAGAATTATAGATCTACTCTCACCCTTTGTTTCCACCGCATACCAGTACCATGGAGACAGAAGCAAAACAATAGTGAGCAATTTATTATTATTTAATGTCTGGGGCTTTGAAGGAGGCTCTTGCTCTCTAATGTGCCTGCAATGTGTCAATAACAACACAGTTCCAAATTGTCCTTTAGAGAGACCTCATCTGCCCTTTCAGCAAAAAATTATTGTGTAGATAGTTGGTGACTCAGAGCTAAAATGTGTGGAGGGTTTGAATATTTTAATATTAGGAATGTAAGAAAAGATTTCAGGAAAAGACAGAACAGCTTCTAGAACTCTTGATGATATTTCTCCATTGATGCCTTTTATGGTTTCTAGTTCCTATCAAGTCAGAGCTTACATAACATGACTTAAGTCAGATTTGGTCAGCTGAGAAAAGCAGGCAACGTCAATGATTGTGGAAATAAACTAAATTTCAAGAGCTCTAGGGGAGCACCTTGCTTTTTTTCCTCTCTCAAAGGAATCTGTGCCAAATTAAGGATGCTAAGCAAAAACAGCACATTTAGTCAATAACATCGGCAGCCTACGTGGCCAGGCTAGAAATCAAGGAATCATCCTGGGATCCTCCACCCTCGCAGCCTTCCATAGACTTTTCAGGCCTGTTCCCTCCCTCCATCCTGACTCCTGCTGTTCTGGGGACTCTGCCACCTCTTTCCACAATTAATGAGGTCAGCCAGCCTGCCACTCTAGCATCGCCCTGTCCACATGTGTCACTCTCCTCCTCAGAGCCCCTCAGGGCTCCTTCTCCACCCACAAAGTCCTCCAACACCACCTTGGCTGACAGCCGCACTACGTACTCTGCCAAGAAAGCTAAACTTACAAAGGTTACGTGATCTTCCTTAAGTCATATGGATGGATCTAGGACCAGAATCTTGGTCATCTTGGGCCAAATCAGGAGTTGGTATGTAGAAATAAACAGGAGGAGCTCATGTTTGAGAACTGAAACTCCTGCAGGTGATAAGCGTAGCACACAAGTGTGTGCTGCCATGACACTCAGGGGTCACTGCTTTAACACAAATCATCCTTAAAATCTGACATTCAATGAAAAAAATGAGGTGGTCAGCAATGGTAAATGACAGCAGTGATACAGCACCCTGGTTTAAAATGTAACCCCAAAGGCCAGAAGAGGCATAAATCATACACTCCTAGGGTAATCTGAATTCACCTTTTGGGAACACTGTGTTACACTCAATGCACTGTACTGGCCTTCTGTGACTATGATGTCAAAATCCAGGGACTTGATGTGCAAATTAATCTAGAGATTTTGAATACATTGACATCTGTAAAAAGAGTATTTCTACTCTGAAAATTAGAATTGGAAAAATTTACTGCCAAGTGTAATGTTTCCATTTGGAATAATTTCAGAGGTTATTAAAAAGAAGAGAGAAAGTAACTAATGAGCCCTTCAAATGGAACATTACACTTGGCACTAAATTTGCCAAAATGAAATGACTGGGTCAGGTCAGGTATGTCGATATCCATGTGGTCATGAAAACAGTGCTGTTTGCATGTACTAAAATAATGTACAATTTCTTACATATGAAATGAATTTATACAATGCTTTTCATCTCAGGAAATCTATCTTCTATAATTTGTTAGCTCATTAGCAAATTACAGCTCCCCTACTAATATTGTCTTATTTTCATTTGTGTCCCCAAATTAGCCATAAGAGAAAATGTAAGGGCTAGAGATGTTTACATGTTTTAGTTTCCCCATTTTAGATGTTATTCGGCCACCATAGCCCTCAAGGAATATCAAATTGCTCATGAGAGTAAAAACTATGAGATATCCCTTTAAAATAAATAGTTGAAAAGTATCCAGTTTTTCTTTTGAGTAAGTAGAGAAAATAAACCTGAGAGAGATAGCTATATTGAGATTTATAAGCACACATTGAAATTTTAACTCAAAAGACTCTTTTCTCTATTTCAGTGCATATGGCAAAGAGATGAAACTGAGAGGTGACATCTGTCTTGTGTGGGGTGAGTGGCATATGCATCGGGCTGTCTTCTGTTCTGCCTCCCAGGGGCATCCAGTTAAGACTGGAATGGCTCATCTCTGCCCCACCAAGAGTGCATGCAGCAGGCTCTTTAGAAAGTACTCACTGATTTGAATCCGGCTTTAATGGTCTAAGTAAACAATTAAACTCTTAAGGAGAGAGAAATTGGGATGACATTGTCTATCTCTCTGACCTAGTATTAGGAAATGTTTCATTCTGGTTATTTCAGAGATGGTAACTTAATATCATCACCCAAACATTTTTTTAGTCAAATGCTATTTCAGACCCCAATAATTCAGATTGCCTACTTCGGGTTGAAGTTTATAGTTTACGAAAGAGAAAAGGGATGAGATTTTTGTGGAAATATTTAAATCACCTCAGAGTCTTATTTCTAACATCGAATGGATTTCCTTTCACCTGCCCAGGCTCCATATCCCCTTCTCTGGTAAGAGCCTTCAAGTTTGTTTTGGAAAGCTCCCCCTCACTCCCTTTGTGGTCCGCCAAGGAAGGTGCCTGGCCTCCCTCTGCCAAGAAAGAGGCTGGGGGCCCGAGTCACACCAATCAAATACCTTTCCCTGCAAGAGGAGTCTTGAATCAAGAGCTTCAGGCACTGAAGGCGGGTTTGGGTTTGAGCAGAATTACTCTGACAGTGGCCCTTAGGGACTGTCTGTGAGTTCCTGCTCCCTGAACTCTCAGGGCTGCGCTGTCCAGCTCCTCTTGCAGACTGGCTCTTCAGCTATTCCTCTAGCAATGGTCTTCCCCACAGCCTTCTAACATGTTCTCCTTTTCCTCTGGGTTAGAGATGGATTCTGTTGCTTGCAACCACAGAATCTTCAAACCTTCACAGATCAAGTACAACCTGATATGCCAATTCCAGGTCAGCTCGATCCATGCATAAAGCAGGTATGTTTAAAATCTGTATGGAGGACACCGCTCAGATGAACCACATAAATTCTTTAAAACAATAAAATTAAGTTGGAGACGTTTTCTCTCATTCTTACTGGCTTCCCTCTGGTCTGACAATGTAGTTTTATTTGATGGTGAAATTATAAATTAGGAGAAGATTCTATTCCTAATAGATTCCTACATCTTCTCCTAATTTATAATTAGAAGAAAAGAACTTTAGATTATATTGAAAGGGAGAAAGCTGAGCTTTCAACTGGAAGCTCAAGACACAGACAAACTAGTAACTCATGGAGAAATCAAGGGTAATCAAAATATTTTGAGTTTTTTAAATCCTGTTTCAAAATAAAAACAAAAAATAAGGCTAAGGCAAAGAACAGCCTACACAAGATGATATACAGGAAAGGACCATGAACTCTGGGAGTCGCCATCCAAATGTACCAACTGAGCCGTAACTTGCCAACTCACCTTTGACAATCCTACCAACTGAGCCGTAACTTGCCAACTCACCTTTGCCAGGGACAAGGGCCATCCTCAAGGCTTCCCTCAGAGAGCTGTGCCCGTGTAATAGTCTGTGGCTGGGCGAGATGGCCACATGGGAGGTGCCGTAAATGGCTTCAGGGGTGGCTGTATAGGCAGTCATCTTTTCTCCCGTGACTTGCCCATGAACCTGGTGGTAGGAAAGAAGAATGATGTTGGCCGGGTGCGGTGGCTCACGCCTGTAATCCCCGCACTTTGGGAGGTCAAGGTGGGTGGATCACGAAGTCAGGAGTTCGAGACCAGCCTGGCCAACATGGCGATACCCAATCTCTACTAAAATTACGAAAATTAGCCAGGTGTGGTGGCACGTGCCTGTAGTCCCAGCTACTCGAGAGGCTGAGGCGGGACAGTCGCTTGAACCCAGGAGGTGGAAGCTGCAGTGAGCTGAGACCATGCCATTGCACCCCAGCCTGGGTGACAGAGTGACACTTCATCTCAAAAAAAAAAAAAAAAAAAAAAAAAGTGATGTCATTCCTCAGTCCTCCCTTTGGGCTGTGTTGCTCCCTAACTACATTCCCTTCCCTCATTCCCCAACAGTGATCACAGCTCTGACCACTGGACCAGGAGTATGGGGACTCAGATGGTGTCTGGCAAAAGCTGAGAAAAGGATCACAGTTCCCCTTTCAGAAACACCCCCTACCACTTGCCCCACACCAGGCATGCAGGCATTCCCAACTTGAAGGCAGTCAACAAAGAATGCTCAGAAAGATACTCTCCTGGTTTTCCTGGCTCCTTTGTTCACAATTCAAAAATAACTATTAGTGTTATGTTGTTTGTGTTCTGAGAAGGAAGCTGTATTTTCTTCAAGGATTTACGGGTATTAAAAAAAGGCATCTACTTTTCTAAGAAGAAAAACAGGTGCCAAGTTTATTAGTGTTTTGAAGAGAGAAAGGATGGCCTGAGCTGAGTTCATGACTATGAGTCCCTAGAGCTAGTTAAAATGCCTTTTAAGGAAGAGGCACACAGCCATCCACTGAAGGCCAATTAATGTGACAGACAGGGAGGACACAGACTGGACAGGTGCTACTTCGTTCATGCATTTATTTAAACATACTGACAGAGTGCCAATGATGAACTAAAAGACAGTCTACCACATGGCCTAAGTGTCAATTAAGTGTCATCTATGGAGCCAGAATTGGGGACACAGAGGCATACATGTGGCCTGTCCTAAAGAGCTGAGATGCTTCCTTCCCTGAGACAGTGTGTTGCCCCATCTCATTTTCAGGTGGGTCCAGGAATGGAGATAAGAACATGTTCATAGTAAAATGCTGGGCAAAGAAGAAAGTGTAGAAGACATTCCACACACAGTAGCCAGCAGGCTTAGAGACCCATATCCTGAACGCTAGCTAAGGAGCAAAGGCCTTGGATATGAGGACCAGACTCAGGCTAATGCAAAGGCCATGAAAGAGATGGCCCTGAAGATTTAAACAGAAATCATGGCAGGACTGAATTTCAGAACTCTTGCCACTTTCTCAGGAAACCAGTAAGAGGAAAAGCTCAGTCCAGCATTTGTTACTGAAATGTTTCCAAAGTACACACTCCCTTATGGGAGGCTTTCCATGTTTGCAGTTGGAATAAGTTGGATCACTTTTGCGAGGAGGCTGCACAGGGAATTTTGAGCTCAGTGGCAAGTGGCAGGTGTTTGCAGACACCAGGTATGGAAGAGTCTAGAAAGGAAGGCCAACTTTGTCTCAGCTGCTGCTTCTAAAGGTTTTGATGGGACAAAGGTGAGGGCAGGTTTGGCGCTAAATCAACAGAGCAGAAAAGCCTTGAAGAGAGAAGAAGTCAGAAGGATAAGAAAAAGCAAACCAGGTAAAAAGCACACCTAGGTAAAAAAACATCAGTAGAACTAGAGAGTTCTCTAGTCAGCAGAGAAAAAGAGAAGTTCTAGAGTAGGTGGGCCTTATACTGTGACCGTTCAACAGTGTTTCCGCAGAAGTTTCAAACACAATCCCTAAGCTGTAAGTCTGTCCAGTTTTGAAATGGTGTTATAGGTAGTGTCTGCTTCCTTGGCTTTTAATCTGCTTTGTGACATGCACCCCTTTGAAAATACAATGAAATTTTCCATTGCTCAGGAAAATGCCCACACAAACATTTTGCACATAAAATTTCAGGGAGTTCATGGACCCCTGAAGATCCTCTGTCTGTGCTGTCCAGTATGGTAGCCAGTAGCAATTTGTGGCTATGAATCATAGCACTTGAAATATAGCTAGAATGAACTATAAATGTAGAATATAGATTTCAAAGACTGTACTACAATGTAAACTCTTTAATAAATCATTTCTTACTGAGCCCATCTTGAGAAACATTTTGGTTACAATGGGTTAAATAAAATGTTATTAAAATTCATTTCACTTGTTCTTTGCAAGTTTTAAAAATGTGGCTACTAGAAAATTTTAAATTGTGCATGTTTAGACTGTGCTGCGGTGTAGTCCCAAATTGCTGGTTTACTCAATGAGTCCCAAATGTAGAAGAAGACTTGTGACACGAATTGCTGGAGCTGCTATCACTTGCTCACCTTTAATGTGAAGTCCAGGTGGCAGCCCACACAGTCCCCAATCCAGTGGGCTTGCATGCCTTTTATTCCATACCATTCTGGAAGATCTGCCAACGTATCCTGCATGGCCTGTGCAAATGGAAGGAGAAGAAAGAAGTAGATGCACAAGGCTTATTTAAGAAAAAGCAAATGATTTGAGGCTTGTTAAGGCAGGAAAAGCAGAGACACTAAAGGAGGTTCAGGATTTGGCTCTCTCCTTGGTCACTAAGTCAGAGGAAGCCAGGAATGCATTTATTATGACTCAGTTCATGTGAGATGGGTTTGACCGATTTTGCTGTCCCAAGTGAGTCATGGTTTCATGGAAAGAAGAAAATTAACAAAGAAAGATCATAATTCACATCTTTGGCAAGTGTGTTTAGTACATTTTCTCCCATAGTTTAGGGACTAAAAAAATTAAGTTCAAGTTTATGAATTTTGAAATTCTAAGCCATTCATGAGTGTTCTACAATCAAACAATATCATATATAGGACATTATACATTATATCTTTGCATTTAAAAATATTAATTTTATAAACATATAAGGGAAACATGACATTAATTTGTGGAAACATTTGCCATTAGAAAATGGCATACATTGATTTTCATCTTTGTCTCCTTTTAATCTTAAATTCCTTTAAAATGGAGGTCTTTATATAAATTATTTCTGGGACCTCAAGCATTTGAGATGTGCCTTATTTGAGATGTGACCTTATTTGAGATGTAACCTCATTTGAGATGTGCCCCTTCAACAGATGGATTTAAAAGTCAATCATATTTGTAATGTGAAGATCCCAATTTCACATTCCTTTATATGATGGTTAATAGAGGCAATGTAACAATGCTTTATTTGTTTGTTTTATATTCATAAAGTACCTTCATATGTATTTCTTCTCACACACTCTTGTATGGTAGCTCATTTTCAGATGAATAAACTTCTGTTACAACAGGTTATGTGGCCCATGCAAGGTCACAGGAATTGATAAGCCAGGACTAGAACCTAGATTTTCTAACAGTGTTCTTTCTGCTACAGCACAAAGATTCTTATGTTAATATGTGATAAAAAACAACAACAACAGGCTGGGCGTGGTGGCTCACGCCTGTAATCCTAGCACCTTGGGAGGCTGAGGTGGGCAGATCGCTTGAGGTCAAGTGTTTGAGACATGCCTGGCCAACATAGTGAAACCCATCTCTACTAAAAACACAAAAATTAGCCAGGCGTGGTGGTGCGTGCCTCTAGTCCCAGTTACTTGGGAGGCTGAGGCAGGAGAATTGCTTGAACCCCAGAGGCAGAGGTTGCAGCGAGCCAAGATTATACCACTGTACTGCAGCCTGGGTGACACAGTGAGACTCCGTCTCAAAAAACAAAAACAAAAAATAAACACACATACCCAGAGCATTTTCCATATTTACCATCTATCTACGTAAACTATTGCTTTAAAATAATTCAACAGGCTATATCATTGTTTTATGTGATCATCCATATTTCATTTCACAATAAAAACATAAAGCAACAACAACAACAAAAACATACTGCTGAGTTTGGTGTTGTGTAGGTCGCAATTCTTAACCCCACAGTGCTCCTGATCTGAATTGAGAGAGTACGGCATAGGGAAATACTGGCCTGTGATCTCTACGGCTCAACTGCAAACTCTGATTGTTCTTTATATTCCACACAGGGCCTGGCCCAGAGCCTAGAACTGTGCCTTATCCTGGGCAAATGTTCATTAAATTACCATTTAATTCCCTGTACTCAAGGGAGAGAATTAGAGAGCAGTACTACAGAACCCAATCCCCAGGCATCTGGAAAGGGAAGTAATAACCTTTGTAAAACACTTCCTAAGTACCAGGCACTTTTGTGCATGTTGCGTCATTTAATCTTCACATCAACAGCACAAGTCAAGTAGTAATACTCCAAGTCCCAGATGAGAAAACGAGTCTCAGAAATTTTTCCTAAGTCACTCTATGAGTATGGGATGGAGCAGTGGAAGTAGCACTTGAAGTCAGATGCAGCTGACCCCTAAGTCCACATTCAGTCTGATATTCTGCTATGCAATTACAACTGTATAACAATAGTATAAATTCAGCTTTCCCATATCTGTATTTCAGATATTTTCAGCTTGTCATACTCTAACTAAAAGGCATGCATTAGAGATCCATCTGCATCTATTATCTTATTTATATTTTTATTTCATTCCTAGAAGGAAGACCCTGGTCATAGAGCCACAGGGTTGAGGTTATCATCAAAATTCGTTCTCTTTATAGATGGGGACACACAGGTCTAGAGAGCAACCTGCCTAACATCACTTAGCCAGTTGGAGCCAGGCCTGAGACCACTGTACTCAGATCTCTTAGTTCATCACTCAGCCTCATTCAACTAGAGCATACCTTCCTGAGGAGAACTATAGGATAGGTGAGTGGCAGGGCTCCACCATCAACTATGGAAGCTTGAAAGGGGACAAACTTGTCACCATATCCAACTCCCCACCCCACTGATGCTAAGGAGTATAACCAATCATAGGCTCAGTACAGTTTCAGAACACTGTGGGGTGATGCAGAGGCCCAGGATCAACTGCCTTCAATGCCACACCAGACTGAGAGGCTGGGAGATGCTGGTACCAATGGCAGCAATGGCTTAATCAGACCATTTTTGGGAAAAGATTGTGGCTGTGCCTTTGTTCTCCCCTAATTTCTGTCTGGGTTTGGATCTCTGGCTTTCTCATTCAACTGAGAGTAACCTGATTCTCTTCTGATTATTCCTCTTTGGCTTAAGTTAACCACAGTTAACTTTATGTTGTTTGTAACCAAGTTTCCTAACTAACATCAATGGATTATAAAAGTTTCAATATGCTGATACATATATATCTATAGTAGCTGATTTTGTAATGCCTCAACATCATAGTAGCAAAGGTTGAAAATCTTGAATATATTAATTATATACTAATATAATGTTAATAAACCATTAATTAATCTTCTGATAAAGTTAAGTACTCTAGAATGCTTTTCAATTTTTAGAGCAATTTAGGGGGTCTTAAATGTCAACCAGCATGCAAGTATATTATAAACTTTGAAAATGACCAATAGCTTTTCCTCTCTAAAGACCAATGAGGCTCCATTTAACTTTCAAACAAACCCATATGTGGTCTAACGGGATCTGATGTCTTTCGAGCATATAAAAATCCACAGTACATGATGTGAAAATTGGCTCGATCTCCCTGACTGGGTCTAATTCTGACAGCACTTTATGCCCCTTCCTTTACCAGCATTACTGAACCACTGGTGTATTAGCTCTCTCATTGTACCTTTTCTTCTAGATTGAATCGTCAAGGCTGGGAAACTTCTTATGGAGAAACCTTACTTAAAATATTCAGATCTTGATGAAGATGAAAGATTCAAATAGGATGAAATGTGAATGTTTTCATATGCTAATTCTGGAAAAATGCCTGCTTAAAACCTAACCAAATCTATGAATATTTTTAAAAACCAAAAGAGATTTTTAAAATTAACTAAATGAAATCAACATCTCGAACAACTCTGCAAGCTCTTTTTAGTCCCCACTATATAACAAACATTATTCACGACTGTTTTTCTGATGAACAGGGCTTCAGAAAGCACCTTGTCCAACAGCTGCTGATAACCCCGGGCTGGCCCAGACCAAGGCTCTGCCAGAATAAGAATGATGTGAGCAGTGCTACAGTTGTTTATTTTTATTTTTTTAATTTTTTTTTTTTAAATTGAGATGGAGTTTCGCTCTTGTTACCCAGGCTGGAGTGCAATGGTGCGATCTCGGCTCACTGCAACCTCCGCCTTCTGGGTTCAAGCAATTCTCCTGCCTCAGCCTCCCGAGTGGCTGAGATTACAGGCATTCGCCACCATGCCCAGCTAATTTTTGTATTTTTAGTAGAGATGGGGTTTCATGTTGACCAGGATGGTCTTGATCTCTTGACATTGTGATCCACCTGCCTAGGCCTCCCGAAGTGCTGGGATTATAGGCGTGAGCCACTGTGCCTGGCCCAGTAGTTTAATTTAAAGAGCTGTTAATTCAGAAGACAAAGGTGCTTTGGCTAAGCTGGTGGAAGCTATCCGCACCAATTACAATGACAGATACGATGAGATCCGCCATCACTGGGGTGGCAACGTCCTGGGTCCCAAGTCTATGGCTGGCATAGCCAAACTCGAAAAGGCAAAGGCTAAATAACTTGCCACGAAACCGGGTTAAATGTACACCGTTGTACATGAAAATAATTAAAACAATACAAATTTTCCTTCAAAAAAAAAAAAGCTGTTTTGTTTGTTTGGGATTTTGTTTAGTTTATAGCCTTCTTTTTTTTTTTTTAATGTGTTCAGTGATGGTAGATAGTATGTATCTCATTTCATGTATTTACATCTGGCAAACAGGATTGATATGTGTATCTTTCCCCTATACTGGCCAATCTTAATTTATAGAAATCCCACTGGCTCACAGAATCCAAAAACCTGGGAAAATAGTAGGTTTTTAGATTCTTTTTTAAAGTGCTATGAAATCCTTTGCAAATCAAATCTGAGGGAACCCAATATGTAAGAGTTGAAAGAAATGCCCTTTCTGTCCTCTAATTCCTTAACTCCTCCCTATCGACTCTCAAGGCTTTGAAACACTTTGGAAATCATTAATTTATTCAACGCCTCTCATTTCATAAGTTTTTTAAATGGGATTCTGAGAGGTCATGTGATTTCCCTAAACTCAATAAGTCAGCAGCAGAGCCAAGATAATGAATTATCCAGATCTTCTGATTATAAAGGTTCCCTGTGGTTGCTATTTGGCCTATTCAGAAGTACTGTGGTTTGCAAACGGGCCTTAAATCTGTTTCTGCTAGAATGTGTCTGAAAAGACAGCCACTGTCACTTTGTAGGCACACCATCTGAGTGAAGATGCTTGAAAAAATTGAAACAGAACTAGGCATTCATGAGCCAGTGTTTAAGAACATGCACAAAAAAAGCGGCGGCGGTGGGGGGGCGCTGAAGTAACATCCAACCAAAAAGGTTTTGGTAATACAAAATATAATCAGGAATAAGAAAGAGAAAGATTAAAACTGAAAAGCTGGGGACAAAAAGA